CCCCAAAACCCCAAAACCCCAAAACCCCAAAACCCCAAGTATTTATTTTATAATAGAAAACACTGCAAAAATGATACAAGACGAGGTTATCTGGAAATGAATAAAGTATGCTCACTGTGCTTTCAAAACCAAAACTGAGACACAGGACTTCTGTAAGAACAAGCATAACCTGACCGGACTGTGCACAAGACAGGCTTGTCCATTATCTAATTCCAATTATTCAACTATCATTGAAGAAAAGGGTGTCTGCTACCTATACCAGAAGACAATTAAGAGAGCCCATCTGCCTAATAGGCTCTGGGAGAAGGTTAAGCTTCCAAAGAATTACAAGAAGGCCTTAGAACTAATAGACAAGGAACTTGAATTTGACAGTAAATTCCAAAGACATAATTGCAAGAGAAGATTGACTAAATTGCATCAAATGATCATTAGAAGAAGAAGACTCAGGCTTAACCAGATGGAACAATACGAACCTATTAAGACCAAATTTGAGAAAAGAGAGAAACATAGGGAAAAGAAAGCAGAAAGAGCAGCCAACCTTGAAATCTCTATTGAGAAAGAACTTCTTAATAGACTTAAAGAAGGAGTTTATCCAAAGGAAATATATAATCTTGACCAAGAAGCCTTCGAGAAAGCCATTGCTGAGCAAGAGGTTGAAGAAGAGAAGGAGTATGAGGTTGATGAAGAGGATAGTGATGCTAATAATGAAGAAGAAAGTGAAGAAGAGGTAGAAAGAGAATTTGTTGAAGCAGACCTTGACGACATTGATGATCTAGAAGACCTTCCAGAAGCAGAGGGTGACGAAGACTCAGATTTTGAAGACAAGAAGAAAATGATTGAAATTGAGTATGAAGTTGATGATGGAGAGAAACAAGTTTATTAAGGGTATAAATAACCAGCATTTACTAAAAATCAGGAAATTTTGAAGGGGTGTTAGAACCTTGATTTCAATATGATTGAAATTTTAAGGGGTTTTGGGGTTTTGGGGTTTTGGGGTTTTGGGGTTTTGGGG